GGGGGGGGGGGAGCAGGATGGGCTCAGGAGTGGAAAGGCATCAATAACCAATCTTTTAGGAATGATTTAGTGTTTGTTTGTTTTAGACTACCGGGGATTGGAAGACAAAAAGTAAATCTAGACAATATATAAAAATCTTTTGAAGAAAAAAAAAAAAAGTACAAATATTGAAAAAAATTTCGCAATTATCTGGAAAAATACAAAATGGAATACAATGTTACGAGCGATAAATATTGAAAAAAATATTTAAAATGAACCTGAAAAATAAAAAAGTTTGAGAGAAAAAACATTCCAAAAAATACTACAAAAAATATGAATTTTTTTTAAATATAACACAAATTTCAAATAATTAGATTAAGAGTACATGCAAAATAATTACACGACAGAAAATATTTTACCCCCCAAAAAATCCTAAAATATGGAATAAAAAAAGGAAATATTTGATAAAATACACAGGAACCTGGAAAACTGCAAAGGTCTGAGTCCAGAAATATTACTAATGTTTAAAAAAATACAATGACCAAAATAAAATCTTACACAAATAATACCACATTTGAACAAATATTTTTCAAAATCAACAAAAAAATGTGTATGAGAATAAATACAAAAATGCTGGACAAAAATAGTCATTTTAAAATATGAGAACAATTGGAGAAAATACTAGCACAAAACATACAAATATCACACAACCTCCCCCCAAAAAAAGCATTAAAAAAGCTCGAACAACTTTGAGAAATATAAATTATAAGACCAGAAAATAAGAATTACAAAAAAATGTTTAAAAAAATATTCAAAATAACCCTACTCTTGGAAAAGAATACATATTTCTAAAAGTAAACCACCACCCCAAAAAATAGTAAAATATGTAAAACACTATGACAAAAAAGAAAGACAAAAATACAGTATATACAAAAAAAAAAAAAAAAATCTTAGACAACACAACATATTTATACTCATAGTAACCAGGCAGTACTTTTATTGTTATTGTCACTCAGACATTTGCAGTCGCGAGCAGCCTCTCTGCGGGGGTGTTCACACTTTACTACGCCCGTGTAATCCAAGCGCGTGCGGGCCACGCCGTTCGACTCATTTTGTCCGACGCAGCATGAATACCCTGCTGGCTGGCTGGCTGGCTGCCATGGCAACAGCAGTGTCACCGGGCAGACGGCTTGGGTATCAAGCAGCGGCTTAAGCACCGGGGACACTTGCAAAATGCTTTAACCTGACTGAACGGAGTTGCATGATGGGTAATGTAGGAAGCAGATGTTCAAGGCGCACGTCTAGGTCTAATGCAAAAACCAAAGAAGTCGACATAAGTACTTTAAGACCACGACACTGATGAAGAGATAAAAAGTTAGTCCTGGACTTTCCATGTGAGAATTAAATGGTCCTGTGAGAACGAACAGGAAAAATGTCTACCTTCTCCTCTTTCTTTCCTTTTTTTTTTTTAAAGCCTTCTGACCCTGCTGAGTGCCACATGGCTGTTTTGGTAGCTGGCGCATGAGTCTCATTTCATCACTTAACTCCCACAATAAGCCTCCTATACGCCTCAAGAGAACTGCGGTTTACTCTGACATGTCGAGAGCAGTTCGCACAAAAATATAGATATCTTGGCAAGGGGTTACTTAGCATAAAAAGAAAAACGAATATGTAAAAGCAGAAGTACCTGGCAAAACGGAAACACATAATCAGGGCTGCAACTAACTAATTATTTTAAGAATAGATTCACCTGTCGATTATTTTATCCATCAAACGAATAAAAAAAATACATTTTAATTACCATTCTATCAGTTTAGCAGTAATATGAAGTAATCAAGTGCAAGTATGCTAAATATTAGCTAGCATAGCTTAAATCTAGTGCGTGTGCTTTTGCCAACTCTCATGTTTGGTGGTTAGCATGATCACGCCCTGCAAAAACCTCTCTGCAAGCCTAACTGCGAATTATCCGATTAAGGCACAGTTGTGTGTCTGCGCAGGACGTTTTCAGACTTTACAAGCGCACTGATGCGTCCCTTGCAGCCAAGGCGGCCTCGTAAAAGTCAGGGCGCGCAGAGGCAACAACATGGCTCCAGACGGAGCGAGCGAGGGTGTGCCATCGACTTGAAACCCACTCTCGACAGTGACGTTAGCAAGGATGCTAACGCCAGCGCAACACGAGAGGTGTGCTTTCAAAGTTGCCATCTTAATGACAACAAGCCCCCCCGAGTTTAGGCTGATGTCATTTTCATGGAGTGCTAATTTCTGAGCGGCGATGTTAGCCCCAATGCTCATGCTATCGGGGCTGCTACTTTTCGCAATTCATGCGGAAAATAACTACTTTGCTTCTTCACTGACGGGCGTAAGGCCCTTTAAAAAAAGCAGAAAGTTTTTGCCCCGCTTGGGAAAAAAAAATTCTGGTCCAACTATGCCTGACTTTTCTTTAAATATTAAGCAAGGGGACAGAGTCTCTCTCTCTCCTGTGTTTGCACCGTGGTTGAGAGGAAAGAAATTTCATTTGTGCTGTATGTTGCACATAGAGTACATTTGACAATAAAGTTGACTTGACTTGAAACAAAAAAAACCATCCAGGACTAGCTCAAAAGAAAGTGTGGAGAAAAAAAAACCCATCTAGTAAAACAACCCGACTCAAGAGGAGTTTTGTGTTGCCTGCCGTTGCCATGGAAACCTTTCATGTGATGGCAACCAAAGCCAAAGGCAAGAATGCACAGTATTTGTGGCCCTTTCCAACCCCACGACAGCTTTTTAGACTCACTTTTGTAATCCATTGGCGTTATTTTGCAGCCAACTTGAAAGTCATAAAGCAGCTAAGTGTGAATTTGACTTTTTATGACTAGACTTTTCGTTAAATTTGAATTTCACTGGCCCACAATTAAAAACTACAGGAGGTTCCAAAAAAAAAATGGAAAAACTTGAACAAGTTAATTTTTTTACAAGATGTACTAATAATTTTTACAAGATGTACTAATAAAAATCTCTTTTTTTTTGTTTTTAAAGTCTGATGATTTTGGATTGCGTCTTTAATTACAAGGGAAGTCAACCCAAAAACTGTTCTTTACAATAATATGCATCAGAACGTTTAAACAAAAAAAGTAGCATGTCTCAATTATTTTTAAATGTAAAAAAAAAACAAAAATAAAATGTCATTTTTAAAAATGAAAACATACCAAAAAAAAATCTGAATACATTTTAGAAGTTTACAAGACACAGTCATTGGAAATGTTTCATCAATCAGATTTCAAATCCATCCCCACGGGGCCCAGACAGCTGGCCCTTGATATCGGCATTATTCTGTCATCTGATTGGTTGGTTTGCGCAAAACTGTTCAACTAACAAAACTGGTCTAGAGCGATTTCATCATAAGCTTCTCTGGTGAGTAGGATATATTTGATTTTTTTTTCAACATTAATGTCATGTTATTAGAAAAAAAAAAATGGATTTTGAGCCGCTCCAGTTGTGTGCGGCTATATTGCGTTTTTGTACAATATTGATATCTATAACGCCGACGTGATGGTGGTGATATGATTAAGTCATGCAAGACCCCACTGAAGGTACCGAATACGCATCCCGCCACTGCCGCAACTCAAGGCAAAAACTTAAGACTTGAAACAAGACAGACGTGTCTTTGAGAGCTCAGAGTGAAATTTGATACTAATTCACTCTGGTGTGTGTGGGTTGGGTGGGGGGGTTGCAGGGGGGGTAGCGGCAGACAGCAGACATAAAGAACCGCCTTCGCAGTGCCAGACACACGAAATGACTCC